TTAACAGCATTAGAATTAGACCAAGTTGGATTTGAATTTTAGATGTGCCTCTTACTGGCTATGTAAACTTGAGCACGTAACTAAACACCCCTTGAACCTCAATTCCATTATCCATAAAATGAAGGATAACGGTATCTAAACTCACAGGTCTGTTAGAATGTGATTATATAAAATGCTTAGCACTGAACCTAGAACATTTTAAGCATTTAATAAACAGTTATGGTGATTCATTGATGGCACAACATTGTAACTATTTGCATAGTTGTTTCCAAACTAGAGTATAAGCCAAGGATTTTGTCTTATTCATTTCTGCAATCACAACACCTGACAGAAGGCCTGTCATCAAAATATTGAATTAATAGATACAGGGACAAGTGGGTAGCTGCGCAGATTAACATTTGCCTCTATTGTAACTCCTTGGCTCAGATGTGTACAGAGGATGGACAATAATAACTCTGCCAAGGTTGAGTAAGTGCAAGTTGCTAGGTAGCAGGAAGGCTTAAGGCTACATGGAAACATTACTTAAAATCATGTGGTAGAGTTGCAAGTCTGAGGAGCAAGTTGGCCCCAGCTAACAGACAGCATTTGCAGAATTTCCAGTGGGCTAGGACTTTGGGAAGTACATGAATGAGAAGAGGGAATACAGTCTGGGCACAGTGGCTCATGCCTGTAATCCCAACACTTTGGTAGGCTGAGGCAGGTGGATCACTTGAGGTCAGGAGTTCGAGATCAGCCTGGCAAAAATGGTGGAACCCCATCTCTACTAAAAGTACAAAAAAAAAAAAATAGCCAGGCGTGGTAGCACATACCTGTAATCCCAGCTACTAAGGAGGCTGATCCAGGAGAATTGCTTGAACCTGGGAGGCAGAGTTTGCAGTGAGCTGAGATCGCACTACTACATTCCAGCCTGGGCAACAGAGTGAGATTCCATCTCAAAAAAAAAAAAAAAAAGAGGGAATACAAATCAACATGTCATGGCTCTTCTGGCGATGGCCATGCCAAGAGTCAAGAAGGTGGTGGGGAAAGGGTGTTGAAGAAGCGTTTTGTAAAAGCAAAGCAGAACAGGTTATTTATTGTGGAGAGGACTTTGGAGGAATACCTGGCCTTTTCCATAACTCTTTTCTATCATTTCAAATCTTTGAAAGTTTGAATTCCTAATATAAGTGGCAATGTTGGTAATACTCCACAAGCTAGGCCAGGGGCCTGGAAAAGGGAGAGAATTTATCTGGTGTTCTATTCCCAGTGTGTTTTAAATTGCTGGACTTCTTTGATTTTTCAGGTTCTGCAATATATGTATAAATCCCATGAATTGAAATGGTTTCCTTGGTTGACATTGGAAATCCACATTCATTTTGGTGCTTAATGGTTAAAGATAAACAAAAGAAATAATCAACATGATAGAATCCTTTGAAATGTCGTGTACAACCTGCCCTCTAGCAAGCCCTTATGGACAGCATAGCCTATGGAACTCCTGGCATATTGAACAAAAGGAAGAGGGGGAGTTTAGCTACTCTGGCGTTAACCATATACCATGAATACATTTGCTTTTAAATGAATTTATAAAATATTAATGCAATTATATGAAATAGCAGAGTGGTAAGTACATCAGTCAGGAGTTATATTTATCCTGTATATTTGTTTTCTGTTTGTCTCAATTTATTAGTGACAGTACATGGAGACAGGCATTTCCTTCTCAACTGAAGTGGCTGAACTTGTTTAATGAACTGATGTTTCTGTAATCTGTGGTAAGGTAGAGTTGTGAGTGACAGAGCTATATGAATAACAATAAGGAGTCAGGCAGAACAATAAAGGGAAGACAAACATTTCAGTAGGAGAGGAAAAATAGATGGGATTGTTCCATTGGCACACAATCTAATCTGATCGTTTCCTGACAAAAATTAACAGTTTGTAAATGAATGAGATAATGTTAACAATCTCTCCAAAATCTTCTGCATGAGGAATTAACTTTTCCAAAGACATAAATGGCATTCTTAACCATAGTGCTCTTATTTTACATCATAGGAAGACAGAGTATCAGAAGTCTTAAGTTCTGTAAGATCAAAAGGGAAACCTAGACACCATCCCCAACACCTCCATGGAGCCGGACATGTAGGAAGCCGATCACAGATGTTTGTGAATGGGGAATGAATGCCTGAATCAGTGCATTTATCACTGTGGGTTTTCACATTTTAAATGGAAGGAAGGACACTTATCTATCAGGACTATCTGTCATGCCAGAGATCTTCATATCTGTTCTATGCTTTCATCCTTTGAGCTAAATGTCATTATTTACCCCCTACTTCTACCAAAAAAGGAAATGGAGGCACATAGATATTAAGAAACTTTTTTCAACGTCATATAACTACTATGTGGAGGAAAGTATAGATATGAGATCCATAGGTGGAAGAGGGTGTATGTGTGTGTGTGTGTGTGTGTGTGTGTGTGTGTGTGTGTGTGTGTACATGCAAGTTTTGTTTTTGTTTTTGTTTTTTTAGATAGAGTCTTGCTCTTTCACCAGGCTGCAGTGCAGTGGCACAATCTCAGCTCACTGCAACCTCTGCCTATTGGATTCAAGCAATTCTCCTGCCTCAGCCCCCCAAGTACCTGGGATCACAGGTGCCCACCACCGTGCCCAGCTAATTTTTGTATTTTTAGTAGAGACAGGGTTTCATCATGTTGGCCAGGATGGTATCAATCTCTTGACCTTGTGATCCGCCTGCCTTGGCCTCCCAAAATGCTGGAATTACAGGCATGAGCCACTGCACCCAGCCTAAAAGTAAATATTTTCATAAAAATAAGACTTCCTCTTGGGAGAAATTTTTTTCTTTCCAAACATTTTCAGGGTCTTGACATCATAGGATAAGAGGCATATGAGAATCTGGGGAATGCCCTCACTTGCTTGGGATACTTTTGTAACGGGATGCCCATGTGCCACCCACCTGTCCATCTGCGCAGTCACAGATCACCCTCTTATTGAGCCTGTTAGAACTGATTATGCATCTGTGGGAATCCTGGGTTCTTCCTGCTGTTAAGGTTGACCTCCTACAGCATCTTAGAGAAAAATAGCCACTCAGGGGACTTCAGGGCCACTTTAAGGATATATGTACAGGTATTGCCCCTCTGGCCTATGTGGTGAACATGGTAAAGTCTTTGGGAGTAGGGCCTGCTCCTGCTGCTGCATTACCAGAACCCCTCAGGCTGCAGTACTTTCTTTCTTTGCAGTCCACTGTGTGTTGTTCTATAGTGAAGGCAGAAGTGGGAGGCAAAGAAACAAAGATGTAGAGTGCACTCCCTTCTCTCAAAGAAATCTCATTTTGATCTAGAGGAAAGCTTTAAACAATGAAATCAATACTGTTTTTAGACCCAGGCAAGTGGGGCTCCTCTTCAGGGGCCCCTGTGGTTTGGAATGCCTACCTGGATAATTTCTAAGTCCCCTCCCAGAGCCAAGGCAGGCAGTGGCATCAGGGCAGCTGCCCTGAGTCCAGAGCAGCTCCTCCCTGTATTCTGATTGCAAGAAGCACCTTTCTTGAAATTTTCTGAGTTTCCCTCCATTGTCTGGGACTGACTGTGGCTGGCAGTATCATCTGAGAAGCCCCAATCTTAAACTGGACACATGTGTACCAGAGTCCCCAATTCTCCCCCTTGGGACAATCTCCAATCCTCTAACCTATATGTGCACTGAACTAGATGCCCCAAGAAGTTTCAGGACTCGTGGCTATGGAATCCTCCCCCGAGTCTTGGTTCCAGAAGAGGGACCTGATAAAGAAACCACTCCAGCTGGCTGCTGTGACATTTCTTTCACGGTATTACATGAGATTGTGCCACAAAAATGCTGCCAGTACTGATTAGTGGTAAAACAAATTGTGTATGTAGATAGGCTCCACAAAAAAAATACTCGCTTGGGTGCCCCCACACATGCTAGAGGCATCCCTGAATTAAACAAAGGATGGTGCAAAATAAAATAAAATTCAGTGGTAACAAGTATGGAACCAACAGCTTGTAGATGCAAAGTCAAGAATGAGCCAGAATTATCTGGAAAGACCTCTTCAAGGAGGGTGACACTTAAGCCAGGCCTTGAAGCATGGCGAGAATTTGCAGAGGCTCAAATAATTCCAAGCAGAAAGAACAACATGAACAAAGGCACAGAGAGTAGTTATTTATCAAACCTATGCTCAACATATTAGATTCATCATTTTGTTTACTCTTCACAGCTCCCTGTAAGGGAGGTGGCATTAACCCTATTTTGCAGATGAGGAAATGGAAGTTCATCCTGCCAAGCAAATGGTAGACCTAAGACCCAGGTCTGCTTGATCCCCAAAGCTCTGTGCTCTTATACCATGCTGTACTATACAAAGAAACCCTGTACAAGGGACAGTAAAAAGCCTTCTCGGAATGGAGCAGAGAGTGTGTGTTGGAAAGTAGAAGAGGCAAAATCAATAGACAAGGCATGGCCATGCTATAAAAGACCTTGGATGCCAAAATTAGATGCAGAGTCTTAAATAAGCCCTGATCAAACAAAACAGCCCATCCCAAAAGGAAAATGCACAACTACACGATAACTCAATGCCTATAATCTCAGCACTTTGGGAGGCCGAGTCAGGTGGATTACCTGAGGTCGGGAGTTCGAGACCAGCCTGGCCAACATGGAGAAACTCCGTATCTACTGAAAGTACAAAATTAGTCAGGCATGGTGGTGCATGCCTATAATCCCAGCTACTCGGGAGGCTGAGGCAGGAGAATCACTTGAACCAAGGAGGCAGAGGGCAGAGGTTGTGGTGAGCTGAGATGATACCGTTGCACTCCAGCCTGGGCAACAGAGCAAGATTCCATGTAAAAAAAAAAAAAAAAAAAAAAAAAAACTGGGAATACTAAGTACCACACTTGTTAAATATTTTGCCTCTGTCTTAGAAAGACCTTTGATTTGAAGCTTACAAAGTAACATTCTATCACCACTAAACCTTGCCTCGTGTCATTTATTGTGCTCTCTTCTCCTTTTTTAGACTTTGATCCTGCTCTTGGAATGATGACTGGAATTCCACCAATAACTCCAATGATGCCTGGTTTGGGAATAGTACCTCCACCAATTCCTCCAGATATGCCAGTAGTAAAAGAGATCATACACTGTAAAAGTTGCACGCTCTTCCCTCCAAATCCAAGTAATATTCTGCTTTTTTCTTTACGCAAGACACAATGTTTTAGTGTACAAGAAAGCTTTCTTCTTTTTCAAAAGAATACCCAAGGGCTTCATAGAGGTTTGTATGGAAACTTCACCTAGAGAACAGAAGATAGGAAAATTTTATCTTGTTAGGCAAGGTTGAATTTTATGCACAGAAAAGTAGACTTTTGTGTGCAGGTTGCAGTACAAATGGTACATGTTTCTAATGCCGTCTGGTAAGGAATTCAAGTGTGTTAGTACAGAAGGAAGCATACAAATTGCTCAACACCATCATTTGCAGTCTTTCCTTTTCATAACTGCCCCATGTGCTGATGATGGAAGAGACAGAGTGTGGTTGGAGGCACATGAGAATATACATTCGGTGCTAAGAATCTTCCACTACTAGCAGCTATTCACACATCATTCAAACCACTGCTATTCAACTGATGGGCTGTAATAGACAGTGAGGCATGGTTCAACATACTGGAAGTGTAGAGAGAAATATTGAGACTGAGTCACACTACTTGTAGTTCAAGTAGAAGTAATCTCGAGATCCATTTGTCAGTAATGAACAGCCTTCTCCTTAGCTTCACTTTAAAACATGTGTAAAGATATGGTGGCCATATTTTAGTTAAAATGTCCCAGTAATAATAGTTGACTAAAACTTTTTTCCAGATCCATTTGGGGTTTTATATACATTAAATGATTAGTAGCTGATTCTGCATGTGCCCCAAACCTCATTAATGATTTTCCATAGCTCTAGTCATACTAGGTGGCATATCAAGGGAACCACCACTGCAATACAAAGATCAGAGCTGCTTGTTAAGGGATATATTCAGTGGTTTAAGGCATAGATCAAATGGCCTTGCCCTATCAGGATAAATATGAATCTTTGACATGTGACTTCAGACAAAAATTTCATCTCCTACCTTAAATAAGGATCAGTTAATCATGGTCCAAGCCCTGGCAGGAACCCAGATTCTATTTAGTATGGTCTGCTCATAACAGAGGATTTTAGAATCAATTAGAGTTGGTTGGATAGATCATCTTGGCCCCTTCTGCTAGAAAAAAAAAAAAAAAGATCTTTATGTTTTCTTCTGGTTTTTAAACTTGGTTGTCAACAGGAGACATTGTTCCAAACCAATAAGAAATCCAGGAGGCCAGCATCTCAGAAGACTATATTGAGAGAAGAGCTAGTATGTCACAAGGAGAATGAGGGAATGGAGAATAAGATGCCCCTTGTATGCCGTACTTGCCAACTCAAATGGTCATTCCTGGATTTGTGTTTAGAGCTTAGGTGAATGAGCAGCACCATTTTATCTTTGTTCCACTGTTCCTACAGTGGGCAATGGCCTTTTTTACCTTTCTTTCAGTGTGTTGCTTTTGGATTAGAGAAAGCTGTATATTCCTGATAGCACCATTTCTACATAAAAAGCCATGAATTTAGGCACTGCCCGTGGTAAAACCTCCTGCTTATGAAAGGGTAGAATCCTGCTGATTTAATCATTCATTTATTGCATAATCAGCCTGCAGCAGACTTTCATTGTCTCAAACACATCCAGGCTAACAGGATGGCTCACAACCTGTAATGTCCAGATTGGGTACAGTAGTTGACTTTACAGGATGTTCAGTTTGTAAATTTCTAAGGAATAACACAGATGCCTTGTTTATGACACATAGATGATATTCTTGAGCAGTCTTCAAATGAATCTAGAAATATATAGCTTGAAGAGGCTCTAACTTTTTATAACCTCTAGTAAAAGAAAGGAACTGACATCTCTCAAATACATTTTTATCTTTCCACACCTGCAGCCACGCCTCTTCAGTTCTGAGTTGGAAGGGCCACAGAGTGAGAGGACAACACATCTCCCTCATGGCTCCATCTTTTAGTTCTTCATCCTTGTATTAAGAATGCTTACAGGGCCTTTCGGCCGGAACCGCCATCTTCCAGTAATTCGCCAAAATGACGAACACAAAGGGAAAGAGGAGAGGCACTCGATACATGTTCTCTAGGCCTTTTAGAAAACATGGAGTTGTTCCTTTGGCCACGTATATGTGAATCTATAAGAAAGGTGATATTGTAGACATCAAGGGAATGGGTACTGTTCAAAAAGGAATGCCCCACAAATGTTATCATGGCAAAACTGGAAGGGTCTACAATGTTACCCAGCATGCTGTTGGCATTGTTGTAAACAAACAAGTTAAGGGCAAGATTCTTGCCAAGAGAATTAATGTGCGTATTGAGCACATCAAGCACTCTAAGAGCCGAGATAGCTTCCTAAAACGTGTGAAGGAAAATGATCAGAAAAAGAAAGAAGCCAAAGAGAAAGGTACCTGGGTCCAACTGAAGCGCCAGCCTGCTCCACCCAGAGAAGCACACTTTGTGAGAACCAATGGGAAGGAGCCTGAGCTGCTGGAACCTATTCCCTATGAATTCATGGCATAATGGGTGTTAAAAATAAATAAATAAATAAAAGACCTCTGGACTGTTAAAAAAAAAAAAAAAAAAAAAAGAATGCTTACAGGACAGCTAGTACCAGTAAATTGGTGGCTTCTGTGAAGGAACCAAGCCTTGGAACTGAATTCAAACATAACACTCTTGACACAGTTTAAAGTAAACTGGTGTTCTGTTTGCTTTTTAGAACTTGAATTTTGTTCAAAGGGGGCTTGGATTACTTGGGTGGAGAAACACTAAAAGAGGTGTTTCTCTTGGTTTTCTACTGAAAGCATCGCGAAGTAACATTGTTAGTGGCCTCAAGACATTGCTTTGTGAATGTGAGATGCGAAGAGCAGGGTAGGACAGGAAGAACAGGGATTTGGTGTGACCGAACCCCTTATCATCTCAGCCCACCAACCCTGATCAGGCCTTGATTATTGTATTAGTCCGTTCTCACATTGCTATAAATAAATACCTGAGACTGGGTCCTTTTTAAGAAAGGAGGTTGAATTGGCTCATGGTTCTGCAGGCCATACAGGAAGCATAGTGGCTTCTGCTTCTGGGGAGGCCTCAGGAAGCTTCCAGTCATGACAGAAGGCAAAGATGGAGCGAGGTGTCTCACATGGCAGGAGCAGGAACAAGAGAATGGGGATGAGGTACTACAGACTTTTAAACGACCATATCTCACGGGAACTCACTCACTATCACAAGAGCAGCAGCAAAAGGATGGTACTAAACTATTCATGAGAAATCCACCCCCTGATCCGATCACCTCCCACCAGGCCCCACCTCTAACATGGGATATTGCAATTCTACATGACATTTGGGCAGGGACACAGGGCCAAACCCTATCAATTATAAACCCCATTCCTTATTCCACCTGTCTCTGGTATATTCTCTTGCACTCACTGGCCTCTGAAATTCCTCTCAACAATAAAGTCTTGTGAATCAGGGACTCATACAGTATCTTTATTCACCATCCAGTCTGCTTCTAAGTTGTGTTGCTTTATTAGAAAGTATCTTTGCCATCCATTCCCTCCCCTGTGTCCCATCTGACCTTTCATCCAAGTGCTTGTCACATATACAGAACCATGAAATTGTCCTGGGGCTCCCATTGCCTACAGATTCATAGTCCAACTCCTGACCTCAAAAACCTTTCACCTGTCTGCTTCGTATGACTGTCTTCATCGCTTCTACTTGCCATGTACCTGCCCTTTAGTCAAGTTCAGCAGCTTCCTGACCTCATACTCCTCATGCTCTCCTTCAGCTCACCTTCAAGCATACCCCTTTCTGGGTCACTTCTACATGAAACATATTGGAAATAAAATTATAGTGAATCACTCTTAGGCATTTTCACTTAAATAGTGAATGTTAAATCTAACGGATTTCTTTCCCTTGCACAATGCATTTAATCTGTGAGAAAATTATGTCAGCCTACCTAACAATATATGTCTCTATATATGTCTATAATCCTTCCAATAACCACTGCTATGATTTAGTTTTTATCTGCCATGAGTCTTTTTCTAAATTATTGTAATAGCCTTCTAATTAGTCTTCCTTCTTCACCCTTGCCCCTACAGTCTATTCTCAACAAAACAGCCTTTTAAAACCTAAATCTGTTCATGTCGTTTCTCTACTCAGAACCCTTGAATGGTTCCCCATTTCACTCACAATAGAGACCAAAGTCCTTAAAATTGCCTAGAAGGACATATATGATCTGTTTCTCCCCTACATTGTCTCTTTGACTTCATCTGCTACTCTCCTCCCCATCAATCGCTCTGTTCCAGTCACACTGATCTTCATGCTGTTCCAAGAATGCACCAGGCACCCTCCCATCATAGGACCTTTGCACTAACTCTTCCATCTGCCCAGAATGCTTTCCCTCTAAATATCTGCATGGCTAACTCTCTCACTTCTTTGAAGTCTTTGCTCAAATGTCACTTTCTCAGTGACCCTGATAACCTATTTAAAACTTATCTCCTTGCCACAGTTCCAATCCTATTTACCTTCTCTATTTTTTATATAACATGTATCTTTTTTTGAGACAGGGTCTCACTCTGTTGCCCAGGCCAGAATGCAGTGGTGTGATCTTGGCTCACTGCAGCCTCCACCTCCTGGGCTCAAGTGATCCTCCTGCCTCAGCCTCTTGAGTAACTGGGACTAAAGGCATGCCCCACCATGCCCAACTAATTTTTGTATTTTTTGTAAAGACAGGATTTTGCCATGTTGCCCAGACTGGACTTACTACCTTTCAACAAACTATATAATTTGTGGAATATAAACCCCAACAGGCCAAAATTTTTGTCTTTTTTGTCTCCTGATTTATCACCAGCACTTAGAAAAGTGCCTTACATATAGTAGGTGTTCAATAACTATGTGTTGAATGATGGACGGAGGGAGAGTTGGATGGATGATGACAGAAGGAAGAGTCAGAGCTCTAGAAAGAAAACCAAAAGAGTATGAGGTAATTATCACCACATGCTAATGACTTCCAAATCTATATTTGTAGTCTATATCTCTTCTGAGCTTCAGATACATGTAGCCAACTGCTTACTAGACTTTTC